AGTTCTTTCTGGAGTGGTTGAAGGTTCGACCAGTCCACTGAGGCGTCTTCCCTCAGAGCGCTTATCATTTGCAAGACTGAAATGGCGTAGCACAAGTTGTGCGGATTAATCAACTGTGGCATAGGCAGAGCTACAGGAGGCAGTGGTGGATGGGAGTCATCCACTTCTGTCGCAGGTGGCTGGGCAGGTCCTGCACTCGGCTGTGCAACCTGAGAGGCACTCCCTGGACGAAACCATCGCTGAAGCTGGCTTTGCTTTGGCTGGAGAGTTTTATTAGAAGCCTGCCTGGTCTGCTGTTGGATGCCTTAGGCAGGGGGGTGACCTGCGTCGGGGATTCTAATTGCGTAGAGAGGGCCGTGTGCAGCCGTGGGGCGGCGACCGCAGAAAGAGATGCGCCAGTCCCAGTACTATTCGGTGAAAGGTGTGAAATCTGAGTTTGTGGGAGAGATGAATGAGATCTGGAGAGAGGGGCCTCAGGGTGCAGAAAGAAGAAGAGCTGCAATTGCTGAATGACTGGGCACTGCTTTGTATGTCTGGGAACGCTCTCCACTTTCACGCCGCAGGCAGGGCAGGGGGACAAGCGGGTTAGCACGTACATCTTAGAAGTGTTATTCCCCGCAGAAGCTTTGTAAGAAGCCCATTCTGCTCCGTGTTTTTTGGTGAGGTGGAAGGCTATTTTTGTCGTGGAGGCTATCCATGAGTCGCAGAGAAGGCAGGTTCTGGTAAGCTGCCGGCCGAGGTTGCCAGTGATGAGCTCAAGGAAGGTCTGTCCTCCGGCCTGCTGCAGCAATTCAGTGCACATGCGCTAACTGCAAGGTAAGCTGGACCGAGGGTGCAGCAGCATGGTGTGGAAAACTAAATTAACAACTCTTTTATGCAAAGAGATAACACCAGCTCCAGCCACTATGAGGCAGCCTGCCGGTCTGATGAAGGCTCAATCTCCTGGCTGGAGGAGACCTCACTCGCCTTGGGATGAACCACGTCAGCCAGGGTGGCTGCTGCAGGTCTAGAAAGCTTAAAGCCGTCCTGTCTGCAGACTCTGCGCTCAACGTGTTGCTGTAGCTTATGCCAGTTTTTGAACTTCGTCTGGCAGTTAGAGCATTGAGGCATGCCTCCCACGGAATGCTTTAGGCGTGAGAATTCAAGAGGTGGCAGGGCAGGAGCCGGGTGCTTGACTGTCCGGTGTGTTCGCAAACCCGCCGCAGTGCGAAAGACCTTTCCGCAACAGGCATGCGTGGGTACGTCCGGAGAGGGGTCGTTGTCGACCTCCGTGAGCAGCTTGCGATAAGAGGCTACAATCTCCTCCGCCGTTTGCAGGGTGGAGGGAATGGTTAGGATATCCTCGTTAGGCCAGGCACCGGGCTGAGTGAAGGGCAAAGAACACGTGTTGGCCGACGTGGATGTTGAGCAGGAGGTGACCTCACTCGCTGGAGCTGCATGCCGGCGCTTGCGAAGGGAGTCTAGGCGCTGAGCTGAGCGATCATGAAGCTGCTGAATAGGAGGAACTAGTTTAAGACGTGTGAAGAGCGCTGCAGTAGTTTCTCGAGTCTTATGCACAGGGTTGTGTGTTACCGCTCTCACCTGTCTGGCATGCCATGAGCGAAGAGCCCGTGCCCGCCTTCCTGAAAGGCCAACAGATTCCAGGCCAAAGGTGGCCGTGGACCAGACGGTGGCCCTCCAGACAAGCAGCCTGGATGCAGTTTTTGTCTTGCGCTTATTGTGAATGAATTTGCGCACTGTCTGCTTTTTCTTCGCCGCTCTCTCTTGTCTTAAGGAGAAAGTGAGATCCTCCGGGTTTGAGTA